TCATCAATTTCTTCTCTGAGATTTTGATAGAGATTTCACTGAATCTGTAAATCAATTTGAGGAGTATTGTCATCTTAACAGTATTAGGTCTTCCAATCCATGAACATGGGATATTATAGGTGTTTAGTTCTTCTTTAATTTTTCCCAATAATGTCATAGCTTTTCATATGTCTTCTTTTGTTATATTTATTCCTAAGCAGTTTATTTTTGATGCTATTATAAATAGAATTGTTTCCTTAATTTCATCTTCAATGGTTAATTACTAGTATATAGAAATACAATTGATTTTTGTGTATCAATCTTATATCCTGCAATCTTGTGTAATTGTTTACTGGCTCTAGTGTATGCATATGTGTGTTCCTTTGGACTTTCTGTATATAAGATACATCATCTACAAGTAAAGGTAGTTTTACTTAATCCTTTCCCATCTGAATGCCTTTTCTTTTTCCCTGCCATGGATAAAGGCTCAAGTATAATATTGAGTAGAGTGTAAGAGCAGACATCCTCATCATGTTTCTAATCATAGAGGGAAAGTCTTCAGTCTTTTACCATTAGGTATGATGTTGGCTGTGGACTTTTCACAGATGCCCTTTATCAGGTTCTCTTCTGTTCCTAGTTTGTTGACTATTTTTATCATAAAAAGGGTATTCAATTTTGTCAAGTGATTTTTTGGTCCTCTATTGAGATGATCATGTAGTTTTTATTAATATTAAATCGATTAATTCTTGTATGTTGAACTGATCTTGTACTCCTGGGATAAATTCTACTTTGTCATGGTATATAATCCTTTTTATATATTGCTGGGTTTGGTTTGCTTTGCTATTTGTTTATTTGTTTTTGCTTTTGTTTTGAGTCAGGGTCTCACTCTGTCACCCAAACCGCAGTGCAGTGGCATGATCACAGCTCACCGCAGCCTCAAGTCCTGGCCTCAGGTGATTCTTCCATCTCCTGAGTAGGTGGGATTACAGGCGTGTGCCACTGCACCTGGCAATTTTTTTTTTTCTGATTGTCTGTAGAGATGATGTCTTGCTGTGTTGCCTAGGCTGGTTTCGAATTCCTGGGCTCAAGCAATCCTCCTACTTCAGCCTCCCAAAGTAGTGGGATTACAGGTGTTAACCACTACACCTGGCCCTGGTTGGCTAGTGTTTTGTTTAGGATTTTTGCATCTATGTTCATATAGAGTATTGGTCTATGGTTTTTTGTTTTGTTTTGTTTTTTCCTGTGACTTCTTTGGCTTTACTACAAGTATAATACTGGCTTAATAGAATGAGTTGGAAAGTGTTTCCTCTTGGTTTTTTGGAAGAGTTTGTGAAGGACTGGTGAAGGATTCGTCTTTTAAACATTTGGTAGAATTTACCTGTGAAGCCATCTGGTTCTAGGCTTTTCTTTGTAGGAAGTTTTATTTTTTTCCAACTCAATTCCTACTTTCTATTCAAATGTTCTGTTTCTTCTTGATTCAGTTTCAGTAGTTTGTCTTTCTAGAAATCTGCCCCCTTTCTTCTATATTATCTAATTTGTTGGCATATGATTATTCAAAGTATACCTTTACAGTCCTTTTTATTTTTGTAAGATTGGTAGTAATGACTCCTCTATTACTTCAGTTTTTTTGTTATTTTTTTGAGTTGGAGTCTCACTCTGTTGTCTAGGCTGAAATGCAGGAGCATGCTCATGACCACCACAGCCTTGACCTTCTGGGCTCAAGTGATCCTTCCACCTCAGCCTTCCAAGTAGCTGAAACTACAGGCACGTACGTGCCACTATGCCCAGCTAATTTTTTGGTTTATTGTAGAGATGAGGTCTCACCAAGTTGTCCAGGCTGGTCTCTGACCCATGGGCTCAGGCAATCCTCTCATCTCAGCCTCCCAAAATGCTGGGATTATGGGCGTGAGCCACCACGCCTGGCCTACTTCAGTTTTAATAATTTGATCCTTATGTCTTTTTTCTTGGTCATTCTAGCTAAAGGTTGCCAATTTTGTTGATCTTTTCAAAGCAGTAACTTTTGGTTTTATTGATTTTCTTTATTAACTTTTGCTCTGATCTTTACTATTTCCTTCTTTCTGCTTGTTTTGAAGTTAGTTTGCTCTTCTTTTTTCTAGTGTCCTAAGGTGGACTTCTAGGGTTTTTTTTCTTCTTTTTTTTTAATTTTAAAGTAGAGACAAGGTCTATCTATGTTGCCCAGACTGGTCTTGAATTCCTGGGCTCCAAGCAATCCTCGCACCTCCCAAAGTGCTGAGATTATAGGCACAAACCACCTCGCCTGGTGATTTCTAGGTTATTGATTTGAGGAGATTTTCTTTTTAGATTGCAGCTAGAGTTGGTGATTATTATGTTCCTTAAAATGTGTTCAGATAACTGTTTACGTAGAAGTATAGTTATGAGATAGAATTAGCTTTTTGGAATTTTCTTAGGGAAAAAAATACTGTTTGCTTGTTTAGGTAGATATTCAAAACTGAACATGGGCCAGGCACAGTGGTACACATCTATGATCCTCATGCTTTGGAAGCTGAGGTGGGAGGATGGCTTGAGGCCAGGAGTTTGAGACCGGTCTGGGCAAAATAGCAAGACCGTGTCTCTTAAGGAAAAAAAAAAAGATTGAGTACACAAGTAGGAAATTCCCACTCTCAACACTGGTCAAATTTTGGCATGTTTTGTTTACTCAGGAGTTCCAATAAATCACATGGCAAATTTTTTTTTTTTTTTTGAATCAGAGTCTCGCTGTTGCCCAGGCTGGAGTGCGGTGGCACACTCGTGGCTACCGCAATCTCAAACTGCTGGGCTCAGGCAATCCTTCTGCCTCAGCCTCCTGAGTAACTGGGACTACTGATGCAGGCCACACACCCAGCTAATTTTTTTATTTATTGTAGAGTTGAGGTCTCGCCAATTTGCCCAGGCTGGTCTTGAACCCCCAGGGTCAGGCAATACTCTCACCTCCGCCTCCCAAAGTGCTAGGATTACAGGCATGAGCCATTGCACCTGGCCTTTTTTTTTTTTTTTTGGTACAGGCTCTCACTCTGTAGCCCAGGCTAGAATGCAGTGACATGATCCTGGCTCACTGCAGTCTTGACCTTTTGAACCCAAGTGATCCTCCTGTCTCAGCCTCTGAAATAGCTGGGACTACTGGTGTGCTCTACCATGCCCAGCTATTTTTAAAATTTTTTGTAGAGATGAGGTCTCACTGGGTTGCTAGACTGGTCTTGAACTCCTAGGTTCAAAAATGCTTCCACCTGGCCCCCCAAAGTACTGGGATTACAGGTGTGAGCCACTGCCCTGGCTGGCAATTTTTTGGAAAAGACTTGACTGTTCTAACATCCTAATCAAAGCTGCACTTTTTTTGTTGCTGTTGTTTTGACAGGTTCTCACTTCATTGCTCAGGCTGGAGTACTGTGGCATGATCCTGGCTCACCACAGCCTCAACATCCTTGGCTCAGGTGATCCTCCCACCTTAGCCTCCTGAGTAACTGGGACTACAGGTGCACACCCCCACACCTGGCTAATTTTTTTTTTTTTGGTAGAGACAAGGACTAGCTATGTTGCCTAGGCTGGTCTCAAACTCCTAAGCTCAAGCAATCCTCCTGTCTCTGCCTCCCAAAGTGCTGGAATTATAGGCGTGAGCAACTGCGCCTTACCAAAACTGTACATTCTTAGAGCTTTTTACTATATAAGGTAACTCTAAGAACTAGACATAGTTGACTCCCTAGATTAATTTGAAGAAGAGAGCAATTGTTACACAGTTGGTTGGAGGTAGAGTCTTCCTCAAAATCTATTCTCAGCATTCTTCTTTTATGCTGTCTTCTTTGGCACTGAGAAATACATGCTGTAGGTATCTCTTATTTTTCTTCATTCCTTAATTTGCTCTGTATCCCTTAAAATGTTACTTATTTGACTGGAGTCTTTTTTTGTTCATTATGCAAACATGTCTGCTTTGAACATAACTGATTTGTTGGATAGTTCAGTTCCTCATCAAACATTTTTTTTGCTGTGCATAACATTTTCTTTGGCCAGCAACAGCAATTTCCCACATTCACTAGGTCACTGCTTTGGCATTTTGACATGCTGACTCCCATTTTCTTTTGCAATCCAACACCTATTTAGATTACTTTAACAATCAATGACTTTTATAATATCCTAATTATATATTTATACAAAAATAAGATAACCTTGAAAACATTGCTGCCTTTCCTAAATTTTTGGTTTTGCCACAGGTTAATGACTTGAAAGAACATTGGAAAGGGTAAGAAAAGAGCAATTACAATGATTAGATGCTCTTCATAAGCTTATTCAACTTTAAAGTCATTGTGATTTAGTTAGAAGTAAAGAAAGTCAAATGAAAACCTAACAGTTATGTGGTCTCTTGAAAGTTTGGTGTTCAGAGGCTGATGACCAGCTGTTTCCCTTCTCTAGGAGGACGACAGAAAGGGGCTTTGAATGCAGCATAAAGATGTTAGATTAGACAGTTTCTCTACAATGAGAATAATAGGATGAATTGCCCAGAAAATTATGAGATACTCTCTAATGATCTTTAAAGATATCATGGACACCAGTTCCATCTGGATTTGTTTAGGTGTGGTCCTGGTGAAAGCCAAAGGGAAGGATCAGATTACTTCATGCTTTTTTCCCACTTAACATACTCGGTAAATTCTTGGTGAGGAAAAGGAAACATACTGGGCAAGATACAGCCCAGTATCCTAAGGACAATCAGCCTTGGAATCATTTTGAAAGCATCTGTTTTGGCCTTAAGTATTTGGTACTTAACCAAATTGACTACACAGTGAAAATCCTAGTCTGTGTTTTACAAAGTAGAAAGAAATGGAGTCAAGTGGCCAACCCTTCATGTTAAGATCAGCAATGAGATCTTTCTTGCTGTCTTTCTGTTTTGACTGTTCTGGACAATATCAAATTAGTTTCAGTGGCTTGATTCTAGACCAAGATTCATGCAACAGATTGCTGTCTCATTTTGTTTTATTGAATCTCATTGGATATCTCTTTTCTACTCCCCTTAGGCTGAAGGTAAAAAGCTGGGATTGGTAGGCTGGGTCCAGAATACTGACCAGGGCACGGTGCAAGGACAGTTGCAAGGTCCCATCTCCAAGGTGCGTCATATGCAGGAATGGCTACGGACAAAAGGAAGTCCCAAATCGCACATTGACAGAGCAAACTTCAGCAATGAGAAAGTCATCTTAAACATGGATTACTCAGACTTCCAAATTGTAAAATAATGGCCTGAATTTAAATTTTCTAGGATTAAACTCAGTGGTTTGGTTTTTGTTAATAGAGACAGAACTATTGTGTGTTCAATATTAGCGTTTGTTAGTAAGTTATTTTAGTATCAGATATTTGAATGTTACTATATATTATGTATATGATGAAAGGATTACAGCTGTACACAATTTTATTTAATAAAAACACAATGGAACCTTCTGCTTAGAACATAGTACTGTTTTTTCATCTTTAGTGAACTTCCTTTTAATCTATTCAGTAAACATCTATGGGAAGAGGATTTTGAGGTAATTTGAAGTCTGACAGTAAAAAAGTTAGCAGTTACTTTGAATCTTTTTTTTTTTTTTTTTGAGTTGGAGTCTCACTCTGTCATTCAGGCTGGATGGCAGTGGCATGCTCTCGGCCACCGCAGCCTCGACCTGCTGGGCTCAGGGGATCCTTCCACCTCAGCCTTGCAAGTAGCTGGAACTACAGCCATGTACCACCATGCCCGGCTAATTTTTTTTTTTTTGAGTCAGAGTTTTACTCTGTCATCCAGACTGGAGTACAGTGGCACAATCACACAATCACAGCTACCTCAGCCCCAACCTACCTCAGATGATCCTTCCACCTGAACCTTCCAAGTAGCTGGGACTACAGGCAAGCGTCACCACACCCAGCTGATATTTTGATTTATTATAGAGATGAGGTCTCACCGTGTTGCCCAGGCTAGTCTCAAACTCCTGGGCTCAAGCAATCCTCTCACCTTGGTCTCTCAACATGCTAGGATTATAGACGTGAGTCACTGTGCCTGGCCTGAATCATTTCTTTTAATGGTTTCAAAGTTTTCTTCAGGAAATTGCATGCCTAGTAAGAACAAATACCACAAGTTCAGTTTGCTGGCTAGTCAAGTGATGTTTTGAATTAATTACTTTTAGTTTTCTGGAACTTCTGCTGTCTTTTAGTTTCCTTTCTCTAGGTAGGGAATGTGCAAAGCTATGTTATTGTTGTGTCCCCCCAAAATTCATATGTTGAAATCCTAATCCCTAGTACCTCAGAAGGTGTATTTGGACCTAGGGCCTTTAAAGAGGCGACTATGGTTAAATGAGGCTGTTAGGGTGGGCCCTAATTCAGTCTGACTGGTGTTCCTAAGAGGAGAAAATTTGGACACAGACATGGTGTGCACAGACAAAATACCCTGTGAATATGGACATCTACAAGCCAAGGAGAGAGGTCTTAGAAGAAACCATCCCTGCTGACACCTTGATCTCAGACATACAATCTCTAGAACCAAGAGGAAATAAACTTTTGTTTAAGCCACTCTGTGGTGTTCTGTTATGGCAGCCCTAGCAAATTAATATGAGTGATAATCAGGAGTTTGCTTCACCAGCCCTAGAGGATTGGGTGGGTTTGGATAGTCATTAAATATATGGCAAATGCTTACTGGGTCTGACGAATTTGTCATAAATTCTAACTTTAAAAACTTTCAGTGAAAATGAGACAGAAAGCAAAAACCATGGATTGGTTAACACTGTATTCTTACCAGTATTCTCAGAGGTCTGTTCTCTGTTAGTTATAAAAGAAGCTGTGCCAGCCAGGTGTGGTGGCTCACACCTATAATCCCAGCATTTTGGGAGGTCGAGGTAAGAGGATTGCCTGAGCCCAGGGGTTCAAGACTAGCCTGGGCAGCTTGGTGAGACCTCATCTTTATAATAAAGCAAGAAATATTAGCTGGGTGTGGTGGCAGATGTCTATAAGTCCAACTACATGGAAGGCTGAAGTGGAAGGATTGCCTGAGCCCAACAGGTTGATGCTGGGCTGGGGTGGTCATGAGCGTGCCACTGTACTCCAACCTTGGCGACGGAATGAGATCCAACTCAAAAAAATAAAGGATTCTGCTCACCCTTCAAGTTTTACAATCTGCTTTTTTTAAGTCCAGAGTTGTGGGTACCTGTAGATTAGAACACGTGACCAGCAGAGCATTGTATAGAATTTACGTTTTAGCTGCATTTTATGACATGTTTTGGTCCCAACTTCCTGGTGCTAGGTAGGAGAGGTGTCTCACAGCTTTTATCAATAGGGCCAGCAGAAGTGTTAAATTAGGCTTGCCATAGAGTAAAGGGAGTTTGCGAGGCCCAAGACATCATGCATTACACAAGTTATATAAATCACAAAACTTATGAATACATTGATACAAAAGTTATACAAAACACAAGACTTACGATTACATTGATATTACATTATTCAAATCTATGACTACTAAGGAAAGGGAATAAGTGGGGATTTACACCATTCCGGTTATTTTGCACAGTCTGCAGGGAAGTCAGGGATCCCTGAAGCTATTTGCTGGGAGTGCACAGGCGATAAGGGGAAGCTCACCTATTAGCTCTTAGGAGCTCTTGAACCCTTGCCATGCTCTTTTCTAGGGGCTGTGGCAATATGGACAGACATTAGCAGGTCTCTGTATCAACATCGCTGAGACGATCCTTCTGCCCCAGTCTTCCAAGTAGCTGGAACGACAGGCGCACGGTACCATGCCCAGCTCATTTTAAAATTTATTGTAGAGATGCGGTCGCCAAGTTGCCCGGACTGGCCTCAAACCCCTGGGCTCAGGCAGTCCTCTCGCCTTGGCCTCAGAATCATTTTAAAGAGGCCAAAGCCCACTCTGCTTCCTGGATTTGAATTCAGAAATAAAACTCTACCAGTTCCCTGCCCCTTCGATTTACCGATATAAAGGGAGAGCAGCCGAGCATTACTCGGACCGTAACAACGTCAAAAAAAGTCCATGGAGAGGGTCTCGGAGTCCTCTGCAAATAAAGAGTTGAGCTAGATGGCTCCTCAGCCTTCTCCAGTTCTGGAGTGTTATAGTTCTGAGATGGAAGGCTTTGGATTCATCCATCCATTGCATGCCTCCCAGTAGCTAGGCGCTGTTCTTGGCTACAGATGCAGCGGGAAACATACAAAATCCCTGCCTTCACGCAGCTCGCATTCTAGGGAGAGAAGGCAAGCAAACATGTGAAATACAGGTTGAGCCGGGCTCGGTGGCTCAGCCTGTAGTCCCGCGCCTTTGGGAGGCTGAGGTGAGTGGATTCCCCGAGCCCGCGGGTTCGAGACCCGCCTGGGCGGCGAGACCTCATCTCTACAATAAATCAAAAAATCAGCCGGGCGTGGTAGCGCATGCCTATAATTCCGGCTACTCGGAAGGCGGAGGCGGAAGGATCGCCGGAGCCCAGCGGGTCGAGGCTGCGGTGGCCGGGAGCGGACCCTGCACTCCAGTCTGGGCGACTGAGTGAGACTCCGACTCAAAAAAAAAAGAAAGAAAGAAATACAGGTTGAATTAAATGGTAGTAGGAGCAAAGGAGAACCAAGTGAGAAAAGAGAAAAGGAAAACAAACAACAACAACAAAACACAAAATCAAAATAAAAGTTTTTGTAACGTCACATCACGCCGAAAGGGACGAGGCCTGACAAGCAGAGGCACGCGCGTGGTAGAACCCCTGGCACGCATGCGCGGTCGGCGTCCCCTCGGTGGCGCATGCTCCTAGGCAGGCGCGTGCACGAGGCCCGCGAGCTCGGGTGCGCGGTCCGGCGACCCCGGCGGTTAGTACCCGAGAGCCGTGAAGCCGGATCGGAGGTGACGTGAGGGGAGCACGCGACGGACGGGTGGCTCCAAGAGCTCTTCTAACACCTCGAGGGCCCCACTTGCGGCCGCGGGCAGCTTCTCGGAGGCAGACACTCCAGGCCCCGGGAGGGCCCCGCAGCCGTGCGGCGGGGCGGGCGCGGGGGGCGCGCGGCCGGCGAGGAGCGCGGCTCGGGTCCGGCGGGGGCGGGGCCGGGGCGGGTGTGACCCCGGCGCTCGCGCTGCGCCCCTCCCGGGCTTGCTGAGCTCTGGGCCGGGCTGTGCTGCCCCCAGCCCCGGGCGCCGTGGGGCGTCCTCAGGAAGCCGTTGCGTTGGGTTTACGTTAAGCGGAATGTTTATTAAACTTTCTCCCTCCTTGCCTGCCGGCTGCGGAGTTCGTGATTTTAGAAATCCACAGAAGTTCTGCAGTTAACTCCTTGGTCTTCCTGTGAGAGGGCCAGCCCGTGTGGCGCTCACTGATGGAGAAAGAGAGCTTTCTTGGCACCAGAATCGTATTTTGTTTCATTTTTTTTTTTGAGTTGGAGTCTCTGTCACCCAGGCTGGCGTGCGGTGGCACGCTCACGGCCCCCGCAGCCTCGACCTGCTGGGCTCAGGGGATCCTCCCACCTCAGCCTTCCAAGTAGCTGGAACTGCAGGCATGCACCACCACGCCTGGCTAGTTTTTTGATTTATTGTAGAGATGAGGGCTTGCCAAGTTGCCCAGGCTGGTCTCGAACCCGTGGGCTCAGGCAATCCTCTCACCTCGGCCTCCCAAAGTGTTGGGATTCTAGACATGAGCCACCACGCCCGGTGGCACCAGAATCTTTTTTTTTTTTTTTTTTTTTGAGTTGGAGTCTCACTCGGTCGCCCAGACTGGAGTGCAGTGGCCACTCCCGGCCACCGCAGCCTCGACCTGCTGGGCTCTGGCGATCCTTCTGCCTCAGCCTTCCGAGTAGCGGGAATTACAGGCATGTGCTACCACGCCTGGCTGATTTTTTGATTTATTGTAGACATGAGGTCTCGCTGCCCAGGCGGGTCTCGAACCTGCGGGCTCAATGCAATCCACTCACCTCAGCCTCCCCCAGCACAGGGATTACAGGCTGTGCCACCGAGCCCGGCTTGGCACCAGAATCTTAATTATTATTATTTTTTTTTAACTTGCAAGAAAACTTAAAATCTATTCAGACAGCCCTTTGCCCACATTATTGCCAAGGTAGTTTGTGTCCATCTGTAAAGACCAAAAGAGTATTAACAATAAGGATTTTTTAAAAAACGTATCATCAAAATAATATATGAATAGGATTTTAAAATAAAATGTCAAAGAAAGGTTTATATGAAAAGGAATTTCCCAGCCTTCTCCTGATGCAAGTGCACTTAACCATAATAATAGTAATCTTTTTTTTTTTTTTTTTTTGAGTTAGAGTCTCACTCCTTAACCCAGACTGGAGCGCAGTGACATGCACACTCACGGCCACCCCAACAACAACCTTCTGGGCTCCAGCCATCCTTCCGCCTGAGCTTTCTGAGTACCCCGGAACTACAGATGCATGCTACCATACCCAGCTATTTTTTATTTTATTGTAGAGACAAGGTCTCACCAAGTTGCCTGGACTGGTCTCGAACCGGCAGGCTCAGGCAGTCTACTTGCCTCGGCCTCCCAAAGTGCTGGAATTACAAGCTGAGCCACCGAGCCCAGGCAATGGTAATTTCTTAATGCACAAGTCTCCTTAATACAATTTGATTTTTTGTTTTTATTTATTTATTTTTTTAATGTGGTACCTGACACTTTTTTTTTTTTTTTTTTATTGTAGAGACAAGGTCTCACCAATTCCCCAGGCTGGTCTCAAACCTGTGTTCTCAGGCAATCCTCTCGCCTCAGCCTCCCAAAGTGCTGGGATTATATGCGTGAGCCACTGCACCCGGCTATCAATTTGATTTTTAAAAATTTCTCCTCTTGCTTCACCTTCCTTGTTACAATGCCTTAGCAATGCATTATAAGTATTTTTCTAAAAGCCGTGGTTATTGTGTAATGTATAAATGTTATGAAACTAGTTTGGACATTTTTGTTGTGAATAATTTCTAGCTAATGTTTCCTAGCTGAATTTAATTTAGGCATCTGTTTTTGGTGAAGTGGTTAGAATTTCTAATGCTGTCTTTATGGTTCAACATCAAGTGTAATTATGATTTCACTGTAGAGCATGTGGGGCTTAGAAAGGAGCAATGAAAATTATGAAGTTATGAAAGCTTCTTTGGATGTTAAATCCAGTGCACCAGGCATGAGCTGTGTGATCTGCCTAGAGATCAGAGGTATAACTTTGTTTTGTTTCACAATTTGGTTTAGTAAGAGAGATTTCATTTACCTCAAATGCTATTTCTTCATAATGCTTGAGAGAAATGAGTAATGCTATGTAACTCTGAACCTTTGATTGTGTGCGTTTTTTTTCCTCTCATAGGCAATTATTTCTGGTCAGAGAGAGAAAAACCAGTGCCTGGCATTCTCACTAGCCTTCACCTGCCATGATCAAGTGCTTGCCAGCTGAAGTACAAGCCAAACTGCGTTCTGGTTTGGCCATAAGCTCGTTAGGCCAATGTGTTGAGGAACTTGCCCTCAACAGTGTTGATGCTGAAGCAAAATGTGTGGCTGTCAGGGTGAATATGGAAACCTTCCAAGTTCAAGTAATAGACAATGGATTTGGGATGGCAAGGGATGATGTAGACAAGGTGGGAAATCGTTATTTCACTAGTAAATGCAACTCTGTAGAGGACTTGGAGAATCCGAGGTTTTATGGTTTCCGAGGGGAGGCCTTGGCAAGTATAGCTGACATGGCCAGTGCTGTGGAGATTTCATCCAAGAAAAACAGGACAATGAAAACGTTTGTGAAACTGTTTCAGAATGGAAAAGCCCTGAAAGTTTGTGAAGCTGATTTGACTAGACCAAGTGCCGGAACAACAGTGACAGTGTATAACCTGTTTTACCAGCTGCCTGTAAGAAGGAAATGCATGGATCCTAGATTGGAGTTTGAGAAGGTTAGACAGAGGATAGATGCTCTCTCACTCATGCACCCTTCCATTTCTTTCTCTTTGAGAAATGATGTTTCTGGTTCCATGGTTCTTCAGCTCCCTAAAACCAAAGATGTATGTTCCCGTTTTTGTCAAATTTATGGACTAGGGAAGTCCCAGAAGTTAAGAGAAATAAATTTTAAATATAAGGAGTTTGAACTTATTGGCTATATCAGCTCTGAAGCACATTACAATAAGAATATGCAGTTTTTGTTTGTAAACAAAAGACTAGTGTTAAGGACAAAGTTGCATAAACTTATTGACTTTTTATTGAGGAAAGAAAGTATTATATGCAAGCCCAAGAGTAGCTCTGCCAGCAGGCACATGAGTGCAAGTCCTCGGCATCGGTCTACTCCAGAACTCCATGGTATATATGTGATCAACGTGCAGTGCCCGTTCTGTGAGTATGACGTGTGCATGGAGCCAGCCAAAACGCTGATTGAGTTTCAGAACTGGGATACCCTCTTGGTTTGCATTCAAGAAGGAGTGAAAATGTTTTTAAAGCAAGAAAAACTATTTGTGGAATTATCAGGCGAGGACCTTAAGGAATTTAGTGAAGATAATGATTTTAGTTTATTTGATACTACTCTTCAGAAGCATGTGACTTCCAACGAGAAGCATGACCAGGGTAATTTTCAGGAAGCATGTAATAATATTTTGGATTTCTGTGAGATGTTTAATTTGCAATCAAAAGCTGTGAAAAGAAAAACTACTTTAGAAAACATCAACACACAGAATTCTAGGAATTCAGAAGCTGTCAGAAAAAATACAAATGGTTCATTTTTGAACACTTTTGAATCAAATGGCCCAGACTATAGTAAAGGGACAGAGACATCTTTACAAAACAAAGCTAGCTCTTGCTCAAAGTCAAGGATGTTAGAACAAGAGACAGTTGAAGCATCAGAATCAGGAGAAAACGAGAAACCTAAAAAATCTTGCCTGGAACATAACTCTTCAGAAAATCCACATGGAACCCATTCAGAAATGTTCTCAAGTCCTTTTCACATACCACATCACTTTGAGGAGAGTGAGGAGTATCTAGAAATACAGAAAGCAAGTGCTGCTGTTAATAGCATGGCTGTCAACATCTTGAGAAAAAACAGAATTCAGAATCAACTAGAGAGAGTTAAAGATGCTACTGAAATGGGATGCCAGCCTCTGGCTTTTGAGACACCACCAGTGAAAGTACATAGTGCTCAGACAGAGAAAAGAAAAAGAGAACCTAGTAATTGTGGAAGAAGAAACGTTTTTAGTTATGGACAAGTTCAATTATGTTCCACTGGCTTTATAACTCATGTGGTACAGAATGAGAAAACTAAATCAACTGAAACAGAACATTCATTTGAAAATTATCCTCGACCAGGTCCCACAAGTGCCCAAGAAACATTTGGAAATAGAACACATCATTCAGTTGAAACTCCAAACATCAAAGATTTAACCAGCACTTTAAGTAAAGACTCTGCTCAAGTACCCAACAAAAAATTTTGCAGAACAAATATAAGTTATGGACTGGAGAATGAACCTATAGCAGCTTATAAAAATTTTACTGTATTTCAGGAGAGTAGTAAAAAATCACATACAGGTTGCACATTACCTGATACAACCTGCTCTGTGCCTTGGTATAGACATGTTTCAAGTGATGGCAAGAAAACAGATAAATTAATTTGTTCCTCCAAACCCATGGTCCGTAAGAAGCTAAGCTTGAGTTCACAACTAGGATCTTTGGAGAAGTTTAAGAGGCAATATGGTAAGGTTAAAAATCCTCTGGATATAGAAGTGGAGGGAAATAGTAATGAAGTTACTACCAATCTCAGTCCTCAGCTTGAACCTGACATTCTACTGAAAGACAAGAACTACTTAGACAACTCTGATATTTATGAAAACACTACTATGAAGCATAATGGTTCAAATGGTGGTTGTCAACCAGTAGGTCACATCCTTTACTCAGATAAGTTTTCATTCTTGAAGGACAAAGATTGTTTGGAACAACAGATGCCTTGTTTGGAAGAAAGTCCTCTAATTCTAAAGGAGTTACCTCACTTTAATAGGAAACCTTTGGATCTTGAGAAGTCACCTGGATCACTAGCCTCTAAATTGTCTAGACTGAAAGGTCCTGAAAAAGAGACTCAGTCAATGGAAGTGATGAGTCATTTTAATGAACTTCCAAATTCAGACTCCCAGAGCAAAGACAGTGGATTGTGCAGTGTATTAACACAAGATTTTTTAACATTATTTAAAAATGGACGTGAAAAAGCAGAGAATGGCATCATGCCAATGTCAGATCCTGTCTCACAGGATAATTCCTTTAATAAAGGTAGTGAAACACATTCTAACAGCGATACAGCAGAGAACTCTGTGGTACCAGAAACTCCTTTGGTATTACCCTATAATAATTCTGAAGTTAACAGTAAAGATTCTGGTAGTCTTACCAGAGCTTCAGAACCACAGATAAGAAGTCCTGGCTTTCCCAGTAGAATGTTGATGAATCAGGTAGAAGATTGCACAGGTGACCAAAGTGGAATTTGTGTTCAGAATGAGGACTCTAAAGCAAAAACTTGTTCCGAAAACGAGTCAGAGGCATGCTCTTTGCACTGGCAGCAGCATTTTGATGTAGACATGGGAAGAATGGTTTATATCAACAGAATGACTGGCCTTAGCACGTTTGTTGCGCCTACTGAGGACATTCAGACTGCGTGTGCCAAAGACCTGACAACTGTGGCTGTGGACGTTGTCCTTGAGAATGGTAAGTCCATAGTGTCACTTGCACAAGGTGCTTTTGAAGATAGGAAAAATGGGCAACAGTAAGATATTCAGTGTTCACAGAGATAGTCTCAACAGATAAATCATTTTGAAGACCACTTATAAATCTTATGTTCTGTCTTCTGTTTTATGAAGATTCTTTAGGTCCAACACTATTTAAATATAGAAATTTTGTGAAAGACTGATATAGGATGTAAGTGTCTGGGTGTATGTGTGTATAAGAGAGAGAGAGCCAGATCACCAAATTGTAATGAAAATGTCACTAATGTCACTAATAGTAGCTGATTCACAGTACTTTCCTACCTTGCTTCCTCCTTCCTCCCAATACACAACTCTCCTAGGAATTTTTTTTTTTTTTTTTTTGA